GCATAGAACTAATTCTTGTCATCAGTATGAATTCCATGAGCTCAAGAGTTAGGAAAAAATAGCAAATTGAGAATATAATACTGTCATTCTTTTGGGTGTAGTAGCACCTTCTTCAGCATGTTAAGTGTTACATGCACAAATTGTAACCAAGCATGCTCATTAAACCTTGACACACTTCTCAGTAGATATGTAAGGCCCATAGAGGCATATTGTTTTCTAGCATCATATTATTTTTGAGTCTCACACTCCATCACATTTTATTATTACATAAATATGAAGGAAAAATACTCACATGCCTTACATAATAAACAGCTTTTGCTAATCACAATCATATGTCTAACTAATCGCCCCTCCCATTAAACCCTAGGCCTACGCAATGCAGCTGATGACAGTGCCAACATGTCTGCAGGACCAGAGTCTCTCCTGCAAGTTGATGGTACTATTCAGCCTACAGAAGAGCCACCTATTATACCTGTGGGGGAGAACAATAACATTGATCCTGCAATTCTCAAGGCAATGGGAGATCCTAATAATGGTAAGGGATGTTATTAATGGTATTGGATGGATGAGTGTTTTGATTCCTTTAGTTATGTTTTTCTTTTTGGTTGTTTTGATTAAGATCAAAACAATTTTTTGATTGTATTCTTTTAGACTTAGTTTTGTAATGTTTTGGAGAATGGAACTCTTTTGACATAAAAAACAAACTCAGTCAGCTTGTATTGCAAAGCATACTTATTACTAAATGCAATACTGTACATACTCTCTTTAACCACTTGATGTTTTCCTTGTAAGATTAAGCTTTGGATTTGTAGTTTAGGAATTATGGTGAGTGTAAGGTAAGCAAAAATACAATGCTTTTACCGGGTCAAGGGGGTCACAATATGTAAGTAAGTTTTTAGGTCTTAACAAGGAATACATGGCAGCACACTCTTCCATGATGATACCTTACTTAAATGATCTGGATTAACATTAACTCAATGTCAAGCTGGTTTATTTATTGTCCCCTTTTCATTTTAAGTTTTGTTACATACAGATGGCTCCACATGTGCTCAGCAGCAAGGAGTCTATCAGCTAGTTCTAGTGACTGATCCTGATTTCCCCATTCCTTGAATTGGCGGGAAAATGCATTTTTCTTTCCAATACTATCAATATTGACATTGTTATCATTCTTATTGATATTTTGATTATTAAATTGTTATTAAAATATTAATAACAATAGTATCAAAGACAATAAAATAACAGAAATGAAGCTTTCAAAAAATGAAGGAGAACGGTAAACAGATAAGATAGGTAAGACCTATCAGCTTAGTCACCAAGCTGACTCCTTGGTGACTAAGTACCTGTAGAGCCATCTATGCATAAAGACAATAGATAAAAGTTTTATTACAGTGGGCATGGCATTGTAGCCTTGCCCCCTGCACTCACTGGGTTAAGAAACCCCAATGTAGAGGTATTAATTAAGTTTACAGAGTAACATGCAAATTAATATTCCCACAGACCCCATGGCAAATATGGGTGAGGGACAGCTGACAGCCGAGGCACCAGACTCAGGCGTTGGTTCCTTAGAGTCGCCAAAACATGGGCCAAAGGAGGCTGAACCCCCAGATAGGCTTCCTTCCGCCAGGCCAGGACCTCAGCCCATGAAAGCGATCGAGATGTTTAGCGGAAACGAGGGTGGAGTCGAGGTCCCGCCCCTCATACCGCAAGTTCCTATTGGCCAAGAGTAAGTTTTGTGTTTCTTGTTTATTGATTTTGTTGATTGGGAATTGGTATAGAAAATCAAATCCTATCTATGAAAGATATAGATAAAAAAAAAACCTCCCTAACCAGGACTCTTTGCCATCACACATATATGCACATGCACATACACATACAAATACACATACACATACGCATACGCATACGCATACACATACGCATACGCATACGCATACGCATACGCATACGCATATACATATACATATAAATATACATATATATATATATATATATATATATATATATATATATATATATATATATATACATATACATATATACACATATATACACATATATACACATACATACACATACATATACATACATATACATACATATACATACATATACATACATATACATACATATACATACATATACATACATATACATACATATACATACATATACATACATATACATACATATACATACATATACATACATATACATACATATACATACATATACATACATATACATACATATACATACATATACATACATATACATACATATACATACATATACATACATATACATACATATACATACATATACATACATATACATACATATACATACATATACATACATATACATACATATACATACATATACATACATATACATACATATACATACATATACATACATATACATACATATACATACATATACATACATATACATACATATACATACATATACATACATATACATACATATACATACATAT